CGACTTACAGCAACAAACAACCTTCTCTCCGGGCCACTTACACAGACGTTTTCGATGTTGGGTTCGTTAAAAGAATTGGATGTGCGATATAACAAGTTACATGATATCGACATCGTTGCAGATTTGCCCAGATTAGAACTGGTGATCGCCAACAATAACGCAGTTACCTGTTTTCAGTATTCTTTTCCTAAACTGCGTGCGTTGCATTTGAACACCAACCCTGTTACGAGATTCAATCTTGCATCAGCGATGCCAATGCTCAAGCTCTTGAACCTATCGGAGGCGAAACTTGCTGCACTTGCGGAAACCTTATTTGAGAAGCTGCCAAACTTGGAAAAGCTTGTTCTCGATATGAATCACATTGTCTCATTTCCCCCTCAAATCGGGCTGCTAAAGAAGCTAGAGTATATGAGTTGTTTTAATAACGATCTCGCCTTGTTACCCAAGGAGATCGGGCAGCTTCAGGAATTAAAGTTCCTTGACCTACATTCTAATAATCTCAAAGTTCTTCCTGGAGAGATCTGGCAGTTGATGAACTTGAGGACTTTGAATGTGTCTTCTAATCTTTTGAAGGAATTGCCGAAGCCTATCACGAACCCTACCGCTGTCTCTACACCGTCGCCACCAATGGATAATCTGTCACCTGCGAAAGAGAAAACTAAGGAGGAGGATGGTGCGAAGATTAGTGAAATTAGGAGACCGTCACAAACATCCGGCGGATTATTAAGTGTTGCGGGTTCACCAGGTGACGGTGGCAGAAAGGGTTCTGTGGCCTCCGTATACACAAATGCCACAAGGAAGGCATCTGTGATATCTAAAGCAGGGTCAGAAAACGGAACATCAAGTCAGCCAAGAAAGGATTCAGCAGCATCAAGCCGTATCTATAACACATTTGCATTCTCGCTTCGTTATCTGTACCTTGCAGATAACAAGCTATCGGACGAGGTTTTTGAGCAATTATCACTACTTTCAGAGCTAAGGGTGTTAAATCTCTCGTACAATGAAATATACGATATTCCCACAAGGGCCCTGAAGGGGATGCCTTTGTTAAACGAGCTTTATCTTTCTGGAAACGAATTGACGAGTTTGCCCGCCGAAGATCTCGAGAGTGTTAACCTTCTGAACGTACTTTATATCAATTCGAACAAATTCTACACCCTTCCGGCAGAACTGGGAAAAATAAGGAAATTGCTGGTCCTGGATGTGGGAAACAATTCATTGAAGTACAACATTTCAAATTGGCCGTATGACTGGAATTGGTTAGTTTCTTTTTATTCCTACAGCGTATTAATTAGGCGGTGAAATCATTTTCATTAACTCTGCTTTATAGGAACTGGAATCTTGAATTGAAGTATCTTAGTATGTCTGGCAACAAGCGTTTAGAAATCAAACCAGGTCGAAATGACTCAAATTCTGAGCGTCATCACAATATCACGGATTTCACTCAGCTCTCGAAGCTTCGGGTTCTTGGCCTCATGGATGTTACGTTAACTATTCCTAATGTGCCGGACCAGACGGAAGATCGACGAATTCGTCTTTCAGGGTCAATGGTGCGATCGATGTCTTATGGCATGGCTGACTCTCTAGGTAGAAGTGAACATCTTTCAATGATTGACATGGTGATTCCTGGTTTTCGTGGAAATCGGAATGAATGCATTGTTGGGATGTTCGATGGACAGGCTTCGTCAACTGGAGGTAGTAAGGTCTCAAAGTTCCTCCACGAATCGCTAGAGTTTTTCTTGAAGGAGGAACTGGATAAGCTACGGGCAGATGAGAAGCCAGGGAAGGCTTTGCATCGAGCGTTCTTGAACCTAAATAAGGAGCTCGCTACAGTTGCCATGCAAACTTTCGACGAGAAAAACGTTTCTGGGATAAACTCGCATCGTGGTTCTATCGCACCAAGTGCTGCTGTGCTTGGTCAAGACGATCTTGCTTCTGGTGGGGTGGCAACTGTTGTCTACATCAAGGATAATGAGCTTTATCTTGCCAACGTGGGGGATGCGATGGCGATATTGGTGCAAACGAATGGTGACCATAAGCTTTTGACCAAAAAACACGATCCGGGAAACCCGCTAGAGGCCGAAAGGATCCGGGAAGCAGGGGGATACGTTTCTAGAAACGGGAAACTCAATGACTCTCTCGATGTATCCCGTGCATTCGGGTATTTTCATCTGATGCCCTGCGTCAACGCATCCCCTCACATTCATGAGACGACAATTTCCGATCAGGAGGAGCTTCTTATTATAGCTAGCAGAGAGGTATGGGAGTATTTGAGCTATCAAACTGCGGTGGATCTCGCTCGTAGTGAACGTGAAGATTTGATGAAGGCCGCCCATAAATTGAGGGATATCGCCATGGCCTACGGAGCTACTAATAAGATTATGGTCATGATACTCGGTGTTGGGGATTTGAAGAAGGCAAAGCTTAGGACGCGAACTCAATCGGTATCTGTAAAACCAGGTCAGGGTTTCCCGAATGAAGAGCAGCCTCAAACTGGAGTTATCATAAGGAAGAGGAGGGGTAAAACAGAAATTCCGGATGATTCGGTATGTATTCCTATTTATCTAGAGCTCTGTTTGATATACTGATATTCATGTGATAGGGTCTCGCTCGTCTCGACGCTGAAGTTAGGCCTCCTGAAGGAGATCTTGCTATGGTATTCACCGACATCAAAAATTCTACATTACTCTGGGAGACATACCCAATTGCAATGCGTTCTGGTATCAAGATACATAACAACATTATGCGTCGTCAATTGCGTATTGTTGGAGGATACGAGGTTAAGACCGAAGGTGATGCCTTCATGGTCTGCTTTCCAACTGCAACTTCAGCATTGCTTTGGTGCTTTAGTGTTCAATCAATGCTATTGGATGCTGATTGGCCGTCCGAAATTTTGGAGTCCGTCCATGGGAAAGAAATACTAGATGAAGAGGGAAACCAGATTTATCGTGGACTATCAGTCAGGATGGGAATTCATTGGGGCGGCCCTGTGTGCGAAACTGATCCAATTACACGGCGTATGGACTACTTCGGCCCAATAGTTAACCGAGCTTCACGTATCAGCGCGGAGGCAGACGGAGGTCAAATTACAGTCAGTTCCGATTTTGTGGCCGAGATCAATAGATGCGTCGCCGCCTATGAGAATTCTGATAGTCAATCGCTATCACCTGATGACATCTTTGGGGATGAAGAGGTTGCCCGTGCAATCAGCCGGGAACTTCGAACACTCAGTAGCCAGGGCTTTGAGATTAAGGAACTTGGATCCCGAAAACTGAAGGGACTAGAGAATCCCGAGTTTATTCACCTAATGTACCCCCAATCTCTTCGCGGACGTTTGACAAATAAGCGGGCTGCCCCCAAACCCGAAATGCCGATGCTGCCGTTGGAAGTGGAGCAAATATGGGCTTTATGGGAAATATCATTACGGTTAGAGACACTTTGCTCTACGCTCAGCAACAACAAAGTGCCTACCGGTTCAACCGATATACCTAACAAGTTGAGGAGTATTGGTGAAAAGATTTCTGAGGATGCTGCGATCCCGTTCCTCGAACACATAATTACTCGCATTGAGGTAAGAGTTCCCCCCGTAAATTTGAGCTACCCCCAGTACTCATGAACTAACACTCTGGGTGGTAGAATTCAATGACAACTTTGCACTTAAGAAAACTTCTCTCGCCAGACCCTTCGGTTGGCTGGTTATCTTCGGGCCTACCCCTCACAGACCTCTTAACGCTTCTGGAGTCAAGATTATCGTCCAACCTCAACGAAGGGACAAGCAACTCGTCTAGTCGTATCACAGAGGTTCCGTATGTTTCACCCCACTATGCGGACTCTGCGCCATCTTCACCTCATTCCTAAAGAAAAAGTAATACCCCGACATCGCATGAGTGCCGCTTACAGAGGTTACTTTTCCTTGGCTTTTCCTTTCCTTTTCCTTTCCCCTTTTAGTTGGTTGTATTGGCGAATTCGGACTTCTGGTTTGTTATGAGTTTATCAATTTTTGTTTTATTTTGGAATTCTTTTTCTTTCGTCTTCTGGTGGCGGCTTAGGTTTATGACGCGCACGCTCCAATCAAGTGGATTCGCTGGTGAGCTAGATGGTGCTCTTGGGACAGGAAGGGATGGGCTGAAGATTCTTTTTCTCGTCCCTTTTTGTAGATACATGTCTATCATGGCCTTTGTCTCTCTATTGAGCTCCTATCGTTTGAGTACGGAACTTGCTCATCCGGTTCCGAGGCGGTAGATTTGGACTTTATGGAAAATGATTTTTTTTGCGATATTTTGCTTTCTTTCGCTTGCCTTGGATTCGCATTTATTATTCTTATCAGCAAAGGGCGCAAAAACTTGGGTGTTAAAGCATTATTTGATGGGTTTGGGTCTTTACGTGCTGTTTTATCAGTTATTTTTCAATTTCTTCACTGGATGGATTATCTTTTGATTCGCTCTTTACAGGATAATTATCCTTGCTTTCTTTATCCTATCTATTCTTCTTTCTTTCTCAATTTTGCCCCATTTATGTTGACACTCAATGCTTTGGGTATAATATCTCTCTCCTTTATTACTTTGCTTTGATCATGGATAGCGATGGATGGAACGAATACCCGGTAGTAACTTTGGGTGGCTGGAATTTCTTTTGTGTTTTGAGGTCTAACCTGTCATTGCAAAGGCGGAGCTTGTGGCAAGATTATATGTGTGTGAATGAAAAATAAGATTTTCAGTTAATTTACAGCCATTACCCCTATGGCAACTATTTTCAGAAGAACGTAAGTTAGATAGTTAAACCAGCGTACTGTGTGATGTTTGGTGTCAACTCTCCCATATTACAGTAGTCAATGGGGTGCCACGGGGATAATCAAGTAACTTTATTTTACACAAGTGATGTTATTTCAGGCTAGCATACATTATATAAAAAAGATCATTTCTCTGGATGAGGTGCATAACTACATACACCTTTTAAAAATTACTTCCCTAGATGAAAGAAAAATAAGCAAGAAAAGGTTCCTATAACTGCTCATGTACAGCCTCTGGAGCCACCGTATATGCAGCACCTTCATCACTCTCCTCATCTCCATCCTCTTTTTCGGATTCAATGTCTAGAGAAATCCTGCTCCGTTTCCTTTTACCGTCTCCACTCTCTCCCCTTAACAGCATATGCTTGATTTTTAACACATGGTTATCTTGTTCTAGTTTTCTATTCCTTCTATCCAACCTCTCGACTTTCTCCTGCAGCCTTGCAAGCTCATCGGCATGTCTAGACTGGATCCGCTCGAGCTTATCCTCAAGCCGGATGATCTGTAAACTCTTCTCGTAACTTTCGCGCTCGAGGAAGTGGTGTACTGTTGTCTTTGGCTCGTGGTCAGCTTGCCGCGAGAATTCTAAGAACCTTCCTATCTCCGGGTCCTGTGATGACTGCTGAGGTCTTGAAGGACGGCGGAACTCGTTGGATGGTTGAACCAACGGTGTGGCAGCTGGAGGATGTGAAGGTTGGGCGCCATCAATTTGTTGAGGAAGGCGACGTTGCTGTTGCTCTGCTGTTGCTTGGAGCGGTGAATTTATTGGAGATCTTGGATGAGGGTTATTAAAACCCTCCTGCTCTAGCGATGAACCAGATGGAGAAAACGGTGTGAATGGCCCCGCCGCCGTCCCTACACCTCCCATTGGGAGTATATTATGTTGGTGGTTCTGACTCGTTGCAGGCGGCGGCGCGCTTTCGGAATTGGTATTATTACTATTACTGTTGCGGTTCGGGTTTCCTTCGAGAGTAGATCCGTCACTATCATCGATGTTGTATATCTGATGGCCTGCTTCAATCTCTTGGAGGATTTTTTTAACCAGCTGGACATCCCATGGGCATCGTGGATCGTCGATTGTTTTGATAGCATTCACACGCTGGTTCCTGGCAAGAGCTACTGTTAACTTTCTATTATTCGGTACATCCACTGTCACTCTCGGAATCCGGCTATTTTATTAGGAAATTTTTTTCTGGGGGTAGGTGAAATTTCCAACAATTAGGCAACTAACCATTGCTTCTTCAAACTCTCTTGCGGTCGCTTGGTAAACCCATTGCTCTCTGCCCATTTATTATACTCCTTATACACCGTATCCCACTCTCCAAATCCCGTCGGAAGCCGGTCATGGATGAACTTGATGTACGTGAAGATTTCATGATCGGTGAAGTTTTTAGAACCAGGCATACGACCCTTCTTCCTGGACTCTCGCGGTGTCGCTGCAGAAGTGGACTCGGCTTGGGTAGAAGACATATTTTTTTTCCCTTCTACTACTCGGTCTTGCTGGAAAGCAGCGATGAGGCCAAAACTAGCGGGGGATCGTGGGGTAAGAAATGGCGTCGATGGGGGCCTCTCTCTTCTCTTTTTTTTTTTTTTTTTTTTTGGTCCCTCTCTTTCTGTCAGGGTGGTTCAACTGTTAGATGAAGTTGTGGGGGAAATCGACTCTGCTTGCCTCTACGACCAAGGGAACCGATAGACAGACAGGCAGAGACAAACAGACAGCATGTCTCACCCGAATCATGGAGTGGTGACGTTACGCCTACGTTCGTCCAGATGTTCTTCCAGGGGGTAGAGTAGGTATGCCACTCTAATTTATGCATGTCCTGCAGGAAAAAACAGGGATTTGAGTGGTTTGATCGTGAACATTGGAAAGGAATTGTAAGTGCTGTAGGTACTGCACGACAGAGATGCATTTAACTGGCTCGGTCTACCCAATTGAAACAGATGTCTTACCCGGGAACAACGATATTCTGTGCAAGATTTGTTTTAACTACACCCTAAAGAAAGATCAAAACACCAGTACAAGAAAAGAGAGACCCTGCCCTATGAGTAGTTTATATCCCTGCAGCTTTGGATAAGGGACCGTGTCATAAACTGCTCTTTTGTTCATGAAAACCCCCGATTACAACCTGAAAACAAAAAAGAAAACATGCATACGCCGTCCGGTTCCAAACATCATTTGTGACACCAGTCGACAAAAAAAGAGAGGAAAGAAACAAATCACATCGTCTCCCAGCCACCATTATTGATGTCGGCCTCCAATTTCCTCGATATAATGGACGGTATTCCATGTTGAAGCCAAGTGTTCCGAAGCAAAGCATCGTAGCGACGTTGATTTAAGAATAATTGGCGGTTGCGCCTGATAATATAAATATTAATATAGAGCTCGAGCTTCAGGTTATATCACTAAAGGAATTACCTAAGACCGTAATCGGTTTCTCCATGCTTGTCAAGATACGGTGCCGCTGCAAAGCTCCCGTGCCCATTATGCAGATATAATACACAACATTTTCGAATATTTATAAATAACCCTATGTCTTTCCCACATCTTTAGACAATCATTGTTAGCAAAAGTTTCCAGTGGAGAGGAAAATATCTCTAAATAATAACTACCTCGTAAGATGTTGATTACAACCTCCTTTCCCGCCCTCGAGGCAGCAAAACGCCTGTGAGCAAAATATCTCCCCACAGAACAAACAAACGGTAGGATCTGTAAGGTCTTTCCCGGTCTTCAAACACCGCTTTTTCATTGCTTCTTCAACTAAGGTATCGAAATGTAGCGGCAGGCCTACAAGTTCGAATATTGACGGATGAGGCAATGAGGGTAGAACTTTATATCGAACATCATGGTGCCTGCACCACCCAGCAATCATGGCACGCATAAAACCCCCATCCTTAGTATCACCAAGACAATACTGAAAGATTTCGTCAAGATCCGGTAAGCCCAGAGCTTTCGAGAGCCTACTTTGTTCGGTTTCAAAGATATCTTCAAACCCGGTATTCGGAAAGAGGATTCCATATCGAGTATGCAGCAGGATGACGGTCTTACGAAGAAACGGTGTTGTATATTTTGCAACCAGAGTACGAAATATTGCCCATGGGAAAGTAGGAGAGGCGCAACCTTTATCCCAGTCTTGATGATATCGTCCCAGGAGATTGACAAAGGATCTGAAAGTCTCAAGCTGTGTATCAGTATACGGGATGTAACCTTCAGCGGTCTCATATCTTTCCACTGCTGCTCGACCCCATTTCCGCGTGAACTGATCCGGGTCAGAGGTCTTTAGCGTAACGGTAGCCTTGACGATTTCTGCGATGTAGCATAGCCGTACAATATGCATCACTTCGAGATTCAAGGCAGGTATCAGGCACAGAGAGCATTCTGCTAAAAATACGAATAAATCAGTGCTCAATAAAGGCTCCACATCTAGGGTAACTTTTTGCTTGGTTTTGTCGTCGCAGATTTGAGGATGCCCAACGAACAATTGTTGCATTTGTTCTTGCTGCATGTCGTTGAATTGTTGGAGAGTACTGTTTTTAGTCCGATGTTGCAATCCGCCCACAGTGGTATATGAAAATATTGTTTCCGAAAGAATTCTCAGATGCGTAAGAACTTGCTGCGAGATCTTATCCAAGAGCGTTGATCCAGGGTCTGATCCAATCCCGCGTTGAGAAATCTCAACGGACGAAATCGTATATCCCAGAATTCTTACCAGAGAATCACAATGCGTCAATTCGGGTGGAGGGTCGACTTCATCATCTTTAAGATCAACCGGGTTGTATTTAGAAGCGATACGGTTACTTTTAAGAGTATCCCTCAACCTTCGGTAGATTTTATGCAACTCATCAATCTCGGTATGTATAGGGGTGGGAAGTATTTGACTGGTATCAACGCGTTCCCCGAAGTTATAAGATGGTCCCGCCCGTCCTGGTCCAAAGGGTGTAGACTGATCTACAACCACTGGACCAACGTGAACTACTTTAAGATGATGGAGCTTATTCGCCAGAGGCGTAATCATCGAAGTCGAGCCGTAAACGCTGAACAGCTCTTGGCTTCTCACGATATCTCCCTTTACCACGCCTTTTTCTAATCTGCTTACCATAGGCCCGATGCGCTGTCCTAGCCAGATATCGAAGTTTTCAGCGGGCTGCAAAACTCCTACCGCCGATTCTTCTTTTGATTTCCAAATAATTGGAAGGAATGCGTTCCCAAGAGCTTTGCAAAGAGGGCAAATAAACTCTTTTAGTTTCAATCTCTCTGGATGTTGCCTCGCAATTTGGTGAGGGTGTCGTCGCTTCGTCGAGTCGTAATAGTGTTCAAAACAGCTGAAATGCATGATGTGGCTACACCCAACCGCCACCGGACCTCTTTTGACTGATTCTGGCGGAAATCCTTGTCCCAAGCCTTGTCTTTTCGCTATAACCTCTGACCCATCTGATGCCAGCTTCCTCACGGAGTCTCTGTTCATGCTCGCAACGCCAAACGGCCTGATATTGTCCGCAGGACGATCCAAGCTGTCTGGTGTCTTCAAAATCTCGTACATGTAATTTGAGTCGGCTAAAGGTGTCTGCCTCAATATGTTGGTATCCGTCACTAGTGCAAGTGTTCCGTAAAGTCGCGAATCGTTCATCTCTTCTTGACAGAGGATGCAGGTACCCGTAGGATATTTCCACCATTTCTTTTGTTCTTCTTCTGTGTCCATATAATGATCATCCTCACTATCTGTGAAATCATCATCAACAAAATCGAATCCTGAGGCGTTCAGAAAGTTCTGCTGCTGCTGCTTCATTTGTGCCATGATCTTTGCCTGTCTCTCTTTTGCTAGCTGTTTCTTCCGCTCTGCCTCAGCATCTTTACTAGTCTGCTCGACTTCTGTGTCCATCTTCTCTCCCATCTCGTACGCCCATTCACCAGCTGCATCAAAAGCTGCCGGTTTCTTCCGTCGCATTCGCTGCAGCACGTTATTGATTTTCGGATGACACGCTTTGAATGATTCCATTCCTGCTAAACGATGGAGTATGGTAACAATCGTCCATTTTTCTTTCTTTGTTTGTTCGTCTAACGGATCAAATGCATCCTGAGCGGTTCTGTTCAAGGCATGGAGGATGAATGAATCATTGTCCTCGCTTCCTTCAATCGATATATCTTCGATGACAGCTAACTGACAGAGATGGAGGCAAACTTGCAAAAATGTTTCCACTCTGGTATCTTGGATACTTGGGGTCCACGACTTGAATCGCAGTGCGTAGGTTAATGAATAGCAGATTGCCTGGGCAAATACGGGCGTCCTTGTAAATGCAGAAATTTCTGTAAACATACCGGTTTTGACTTGCCTCAACTTCGGCTCGAAAACGACCTCCGACTGTGGTTGACCAGTTTTCTTCGATATCCTCGCACAGTAATTACTTTCTGTCTCCTCCCGCTGGTTTTTGGAGAATTGCATGATATAAGGGTCAACTTCATCTTGGTACCTTTCCTTGAGCTCGAATGTACCGGAGTCGGAAAGCCCTTCAGGCGCTCGGTAGATTGACATTTCCGATAGGACTTCCTGGAACATTTCATGGTCTTGCAACCTCTCAGGGAGACGAAGACAAAGCTCTGAAAATTGTATGGGTTTGAAGCAAAGGATATGAACGATCTCCCGTTTAAGTTTGAGTATGTGGATATCAGGCTCTTCCTGGAGGGGAATGAGAGGCAATCGATCACTCAGCAGGACAATTAACAGATGCAAAAAATCCTCAGCCATGTCTAGGATTTGCATCTCCTCGTACCCGATTGGGGGTTTAAAATCGCCCTGTATCCACCGATGGAGGCCAAACCGTTCGACCATGTTTACTAACATCCGGGCAGGATTAATGGTAACAAGCGCGGTTTGCAGAAGAAATATGTCCCGATTATGGGTGAGGTCTCGCTGGGAAACATTCTTGTATGCTTGCATTTGATGCCTGAGACTGAAACCGTTACGAACCCACATTCCTGCTTTCATCTGGGATAGCCATACGCAGACCCTCAGGGGAAAATCAAACATCGCAAGTACCAAATCTTCCAGCTCATGTTCGCGTACTTGAGCCTTGAGGCTATCCCATTCCGGCATAAAAAAGGTCTTCAGATCGGTCACAGGTGTGGCCTTTCCGGCCTCAATCAGCCATGAGAGGGTATAATGCAATGCATGATGGAAACTAATGGGCTGCTTGTCGACTTTGTAGTCAACTACGCGATACTCGATTCCCTGACCATAAGTCTCCTGATCAAATTGGTATTTCCCAAGGGATATAAAGGTAGTGTCCGACTTGAGTTCAGCTTGATGGAACCGCAAGCGCTCCCAGCCCATGGAATAAACTATCGCATATCTCGCGACAGTAGCAATGGTGCGTTGTAGACTATTATCAAGGGGATCATCGCTCCATTTAAAAGCCTCTGCGAATTGTCGAGCCAATTTGCAAATCTCTCTGGTGATCAACGATGCACTGATCCATGCCTCGACCTCGTATTCCACGTGCTCGCCCACGGCCCTAACATTTGGACAAATTCCTTGATGAAGTCGTACCAAATCTAGAAACTGTAGTGTATACCTTTCTTCCTTTCTTAGTCTTTCCTGAACATAATTGGAACCAAAGAGATATCGCATATCCTGGAAAAAATGGAACATCCGCCGATTTTGAAGCGAGCCAGCATCAAAAGCGAGTATTGCCTCCTTGTTGACATCGTGTGCGTGTCCCACTTGCCGTGTCGTTAAGAATGTGTAAAGGATTGCCATCAGGTTTGTGAGGAAGTTTCCTCTATTTACAACCTCTGCAGTGATGGAAGGAGTGGTTAATATTTGCAACGAAAGATTGATTATTGAGTGATCAGGCTCCCTGTCCGGAATGAGATAGAGCTGGCTCAAAATTGTGTAAAGCCCTGCAAAACGAAGGCCTAGAATTCTTTTAAATTCAGGAATGGCCACCACTGTGCTGATATACAAGTCCCGTAAGTTTACCCTGGCTTTCTTCCATAATCGTAGGTCAAATAATATTAACCAATCCAAGCGGACCCGCTGTCGTAAGTCCTCACGTGGGGGCATAGGATATCGAGGCATGTATCCATCAGGCTTTTCTAGCCAATACTGAGGTGCTGGTGGCCCTTGTCTTCGTGCATGATGGTCACCTGGAGTGTGCGGGATCTTTGGCATGCCAGTAAATAATGGTTCAAGATTATGTTCTGGGCTTCGAACTCCGCCAGTCGCCGCTTGGGCCAGTCGAGATGCTATCTCTCCAGGCGCTGTCATTGGGGGCCGTCTCCCAAATCCATGCCATGGCCGATAGTCAAAACGACCAACCATATCCACATCATCATCGGAACGATCAGGTACTAGGGGCTCTCTTTCTCGTATCTCATCCTCTATCGCCTCTCTTATACGTTGCTCGTCCGAAATTTGTATGCCTTCCTCAAAGTCATCTCCAACCATATCTCCCGGTTCTCCGTCCCCCTCTTCGTCCCCATCCCCATCTGCTTCAACATCCACCTCAACATCCACGTCCATATCGTCTGACTCAATATCCGCACGAGCTATATCTTCTATTGGTAAGACTCTAGTGCCTAGCATAGTGGCTAGTTCTTCCTCAAGGGCGTGATCGTCAATCCCTTTTTTCCCTATTTCCGTGTTTGATGCTCTCGACCCGACCCTCCAAACCCCGAGTAACTCCTCACAAATAGTCTTTCGAAGAATATTGTTGTCTTTGCCAGTGCTGCAGCCCGCAATATCACCAAGCCATTCAATGATAGTTCCACACATCTGTTCCCGATATGTATCCCTGGCAGATCTAATGGTAACAGTGACTTTGATCTGTTCGATTATTGTCGATATCCTTAACAAATCATCAATATTATGAGAATAGGTAATTATGCTTCGTCCCATAAAGTCGGTTTCCTGCGCTCGTAGCTTTCCAAACGCCTTCGTCTGTTTGCAGGCCCGCGCAACTTGATCCTCGACCTCATCGATTGTATGTTTTTCATCATTCCAAAGTATTAACGCATACTCTAGATCTTTACAATTTTCTTCGTCCTGAAAATATCGTGATGTCAACTGGGAATTTCGCGCGTCCTTCTCAATTTCCTCTTTTGTTTTTGCCAGTCGTAATTGCTCAGGGGAGCATGATACGACATCGCAAATGTAATCTATTGCCCTTGCAATAGTGCATTCAATACTTTTTATTAGGTCCTCCGGAAGAACCTCCGTACTATCATCGGCACCCGCATTTGAAGGATTCTCGTTTTGCCAGTGAATTGCACATTTTACAGGCGTAGCCCAAGCCTCTTTATCCCCACAGTCACAACATCCACTATTTCCTGGCGATATACTGACAAGCACGACATGGCCAGTGTGATCTGACGCTTCAAAGCATTTACCACAAAGAACGCATGTTTCATCGAGGGAGCAAGTCCTGCTCTCTTGTTAGCTAATACTCGGGTATACGAGCTTATGAGAACTGTGCTAAGAAGACTCGGAAGCCCATCGCCCATTACTCAATGAAAAGAGCCGGATTCTACATACTTGCATCGATACGTTGCTTCCCCACTCTTCAGGATATGCCCGCAAGGCTTTCCTCGTGCGGCTGCACTATACTCGGCTCCCTCTACAGCTCCCTGAGCTGCCGACATGTTCCAAGCAGCCAGTGTTTGTTCGATTGGAGGGCCATTAGGGAAAAAGTATCTGAAATTTTCGTACTTGTTGTTGGCTAGTGTCGATGTGAGGTCCCGAAGCAAGTTAATTCTGGCTTCTTCGGTGTATCGATAATTATTATCCTTGGGTGCATCACGAAGCTTGCGCATCAAGGAGGCCTCGGACTCAGCTTGAGCGATCATGTGTAGAGGCCGCCTCATCACAAAAATAATCCCTCGCGGGCTCTGAGTCGGTTACGAGAGGGTGACCGCGTAGTCCCTGGGGGGTATTGGGAATGTTGGGAGCAGCTGTGAGGTGTGAGCGAAGATCCGGGATGTGGCGGAATGAAACCAGGTGTAACTATTTCAAGGAGAAGAAGATGCTTTTGTCTTTCTCGAAACGTTTCTATCCAGACCCTTGCGATGGCTGGCTGGGTGGATGATGAGCTTGTAGCTTTGGTAGGGGGTGTTCTGGCGTATCGCAGAAATACCGGCGCTTTACTTGTAGGTAGTGGGTGGCAACAGCGGTCACTGCATGTGGGTTTATGGATTTATCTGATTCATCAAATCAACCACTTCAAGTTCCAGTCTGACTATATTCCAATCAAAAAAGCGCCGCAGACAGGAGTACCGATACTGTCATTGATAGGTACACATATGTAAGTAGATATCGATGTTATCGGTCTATTGCGGGGTATTGGTATCACAACCGTGCCATAACCCACATCTTAAGAGGACGTCACCAAATTCTGACAACGTCTACATTATGACTTCCATATCTTTTACAGTCTTTTAAGTACAAATACTCTAGACATGTATATTTAGAAGAATTGCCTGCGTAAATGCATTTTATGCAATTTCCAAGCGCTACCAGCGATCCTTAAATTCATGAGAGCACCTACGCCGCCGAAGTCGATTTATCGCTATATGCAGACCATCCCACGTTGCTGGGGTAGGTAAGGAGAATTAACTCTATCGGGACTAAAATTGCCTTCTGGTCGGCGCTCTCCAACAAATTTCAATCTAGCTTTTGTGACGGTGGAACAGGCAGTATTTCCGTAGTGTCAAACCGGGATCTATCTTAGACAATGTATGTATTTGGCCACAAATAAATACTCCGATGGGTGACACAAGATTTGTTGCCTTATAGATATTACATATGAAGACTGCAAGTTATCAATGAGACTGGTATCGTATGCACTCATGATAAGTCCCATGGCCAAACCTGCGGGTATGTAGGTACGCCCACCCCCCGTAATAAAAGAGAGATTCGAATTTTAATCCAAACTGCGAGAAATATGGTGAAGAGAAACATAGCGTTTAATTCGTTAAAATTCACCCAATCTGTGAATCACCACATGCGCATTGAATTGTCATTATTCGAGTGATGACTTATGAATAAGCTAGTTCCTAAGATTGTTGGTACTAGCACTGTAGAATCTCACTGGAACGCATTACTATGGCTTTCAAGCATGCCGGTAGCCGCTATCTATTGTAATATCTTCATCCTATATAATATATACAAGCATTTTCCGGCCTTTGGCCAGAGTAGGAACTGTTATGGCTTAAACAATATCAGTTTACCAACGCTTAAGATCACTGAAACCCCAAGATGCCCTGTGCACATATCTGATATACTATTTGGTTGACTCAAGGTATGTTGGAACCAATATCTACTTGCTGACTCAAACATATTTGATAGAATATCTACTAACTCCAACATATTTGATAGAATATCTATTTACTGACAAACATATTTGATAGAGAAAAAGAACACCCCTCAAACCTGGCCAATCAAAACCTTTAAATAACACATTGCATATCGGTATATCTATATACTTATTAGATATGGCCTGGTGAGCATTAATCACATATATATATCAAGCTACTGTGGTATTGCTAGCTTCACATACACATAGTACTAATATGAGTGCAATCAACATGTATGATACCTAAGTCTTCGCCAGAGGAATTTCAGAGATCAATTCCTCGAGGTTTCCATGCAGTTTCTCCAAGCCATCGACTTCTTTATCAATATTCAGCAACTCCGCCTCGACGTCAATGTCATTACCTCCAGTCTCAAGTCTCTTCAAAATCACAATCCACGGTAGTCTAATATCAGCTTGCATCTTCTGATCTAGAATCTTAAACTTTCTACTGATCTCATCGTGTAGACTAAAAGCATTTTTGACAGATTCACGAGGGTGAACCTTCAATGGATGTGATGTGTCGACATGAACAAGGTGTGTATCGAATTTGATTTTCATTTGGGGAATGGGTCCTAGATTGGGGAGGTGTATCTGGAGGTGATTTGCCAACACGGACAAATCTTGTGAATTCGGCGTGGATTTCGGTTAGGGTGTTGCGAAAATCTTCAAGAATCATCCTGACTACAGAAAAAGCAATTTCTGGAGGTGGATCCATGGCTGTGCAGCTGTGGTTGTAGGGTTTTCGAATGTATGGTGTGTCTGTATGGTTAATAAAGGCTCTATTTATAATCGAAACCTGCAGTCTTTTCAAAAAGGTTCGTCAGTGTATCTTGAAATCCATATATCATTTCGGAACTTGTTGGTGTTATTTGGTGGCGCTTTATGCATGGCCTCTCACTCGGCTCTTGTGTCTTAGAGGATGTCAGTACATTTATACCGGAAGGATATCCATATGCTGGCACTAATGAGGGTTTTCTTTCAACTCGGCCCGATCTTAAAGTTGCTGTTGACGATACCTGATCATGACTCCTCTTCCCCTGCGAGTGGCCATGTCACCTGTCACGAAGCCAAGACCCCCGATAGCTGAAAATCATAGTTAGCTTGGCGAGATCTCATGGTGCGTGCATATGAACCTTCAACTTCCCGGTCTTGCTTCGAGTAAGATCAAGCTCATCCTGTAATTATTTTACAACGTTGCCGATTTTCAAAAGAAGGAAAAAACACTTATCGGTTCACACTCATCCATCAATCACGCCCTTGGGAACTCTCTTTGCCATGCCTCTCACTCCTAAAGATGACCCCTCCCGTCCTGCCACTCCTTCAAATGCCGGAATAACACGTAACTCCGATGGGCAACAGATAATTCCCGCCTCACTCAGACCTGATGGAACGACTCGGCGTGAAATTAAAGTACGTCCAGGATATCGTCCACCAGAAGACGTCGAGGTTTATACGAACCGCACTGTCGAAACATGGAAGAATCGCGGCAGCGGAGGGGTCCCAGGAGCTGCAGCTGCAAGCGATGACGACAAGAAAACTGATTCCGCAGGAAGCGATAAAAATGCGAAACGAAGAGCTGCGAGAAAAAGAGCGAAGGAACTAGAGCGGGAAACAAAGAATGAGGCCGGGGAAGAAACAAAGGCCCCAACGAAGGAAACCAAGGAGCCCAAGGAAGCCCTGGAAACCGGTGGAGCGAAGGTATCGAAAAAGAGTCCACACGCCTCAACAAATACCTCCAGTCGAGCGGCATCGCCAAAGCCAAAGCCTGAGCTGACGCAGGAGGAAAAGGAAAAGTTGGCAAAGGGTATCAGGAAGAAAATTCGACAAGCGAACGAATTGAAAGTTAGGAAAGACAATGGGGAGAACTTACTACCCGAGCAGCTTGAGAAGGTTATTAAACTACACGAGTTGGCAAGGCAACTTAATGCTTTGGGATTAGAGTAGTGCTACATTCGTATGTAGTCTATATGGTTGTTGTTTACTTGGAGCGTATATTTGGGGCGTCGAGGTGTGGATATTAGGGCGCGATGCTTGCTACATGTAGTGATGGAAAACTGGGTTCTGTAGGATGGACAAAGCTCTTTTCCTTCTGTTTTTCTAGTTTCTGCAATAGAGTTGTTGTCGATTTTTGTTTATAGTGGAATCCTTCTCTTTTGCTGATGGAGTGGTTAGCTTTTATTAGAATCACTTCATGGGATTCCCTAATGCTCGTTGCTTTCACTACTGACATAGCCAAATATATTCTCTGTCTAAGATCCAGCCAACGAACCAGAAATGCCCCTCTTATAATTATTCTTCCCACTGGAGAATACATATCTGCTATGAGTGACGGATTCTGCCACCTCTACCTTCCAGTATACATACATTTATCGCAGGGAAGCCATCACATCCAGTACTGCTATTCAGTCATACATCCATTTATCCCAGCGAAATCATCATATCCAATACTGCTGTTCGATCATTCTTGTTTATCTACACTCTAAAATGACAGATTTAAGGTTCCGCTTTCGGTCTCAATCTCTCAACTCTATCAGAGTTTGTCAGCTCATCATCATCTTCGTGGTACCGGTCCTTGTCTCATCGGCCGAGCATAACGAAATAAAAAAAGATGGCACTACGATACAGGATACTTGGAAACACGCTGATAAATGCGAGAATTTCTGGCAAGAGGTGGGATCTTTAGGTGCAAGTGCTCTCTGCTATAAATCAAATGATCAGGATTATCGGGTGCCTACCAAAACTTCTCTTACACCACACGATGAGGGTCTTAATGGGCCCCCATGCCCCGTAATACACCATCAAGGTTTAGCATGCAAAAGACCTAAATGTTGTGCTAGATCAACTCGCACATTATTGGACCTTAATGCAATCAAGTCGATTGACTTCCTCGAATTTCCCCCTTGGTACCATCGTGAACCACCACCACATCCGGGAATCACTGTTTTACCCGCAGAAATCCCAGAGGGACAAATAAGCACTTTCCTCGGCTCTCTCGGCCATGCTAGAAGCAAAGGCTTTGTTATTCCAGTCAATAAGGAGGGGGTGCCGGGATGGGAGAAAAGGTCTCTGGAAAAAGAATCAGTAGTAATATTACTTCCTGAATCGACCGGTTCCGGTTTTGTAACCTCTACAAAAATTTTGGGCACGTTGGTACCTACGTCTGGAACTATTGGCGGACAAACGATCCATACTCCTATGCCACACAGAATAAAACCCTTTTACGGCCAAACACTCACTGCTAGTACCATTAGCAACAAGCCAACTTCGTCCCCTAATTCACCATTCAAGGAATCAATCAAACTCGCTTCAATACAGGCATTTTCCCAGATGGGGATCGTCCTCATAGCTCTCTTGATTATTGCAGGTGTAGCAGTGGTTTTTATCTGCATCAGTTCTATACTCAAGTTTCCTATACCCTTCTTAGGAAGATTGAAGTTTGGAAATATTAAGAAAGGCGGGAAAAAATTGAAGTCGCAGAAAACGGACACACGCGACATTAATTTTGGGGACCTTGTGGAAAACGCCACGCTGAACCCATATGCTAGGGCCCGTTATCTGCGTGGCACTGCAGAGGCAATTGACGATGATAGTTCATTGCAAGACGGGAGTCATATATCAGGTACAAGAACTGGGGGTGAAACGTCGGGGGATAATACCCCGGCGGTAGCAACTGGAAGCCAGTCAAAGTTAACAGGTGTCAAGCTAAGGAGGACTCGGAGCTGCTAGAAATAGAAGTATTGGTAAAAAGCAGTACAAGGAATATATTGTTAAGAGGAGAGCTAGAGAGATATGCTCAGGTTTTTTCACTACCCACGGTGTGCCTTCATTAGCTGGCACTCTGATTGTGTTGGATATTCATTGGTTTTGAGAGTCTCGTATAGCTTTACTTTTGTATGCTTTGGAAGTTCTATTTATATGTAGACTCTGAAGAGTCATTATTAGTTCAGTTTAAGAATGAGACTTATATGGCAGGAAATGGATCAATTCCAAACAAGCATTACAGTAAATAGAGAATATCGAATGCGATACTCTCTGAATACTCATGCGTACTAGGTACTCCCCGCAAGGATATCCAATTACCATCATAATACTGTATCTAGCCGAGGATATCCCCAATCATTCGCCTTTATAATTGCCGTACTGCGCATATCCTGGATAGAGTGCGTGCATGCATCCACACGATGCACATACGGAGTTAGCGGAGAGCCACCAGCCACAAAGGGTGGTCAAAGCTTTAAGGCGGAGATTCTGGTTATCTCCGGGTGGGTGCGTGACAACCCTGGTAAAGCATGGGGTAGAACCCGGTATTTGGCAGAGAGGTCTACTTTTGGCCTCCTTTGGGTTATTATATGTAGTTTGTTATATCTTGCTCGACTTCGTGATCATGCATTTGCTAGGAAACCTATTTTTGTCGCTGGGGCCGACGATTCCATAGGCCTGAGGTACCATTCTAATGTGAATAATATATAAGTTCTTTCCGTTAAAAGAGCTCTAGCGCTGGTGAGGGCTTCTAGGAATTAGCTATGTGTCTCTATTTCCGTAGATGTATGTAGTGTGGTTTCTTGAAGAACCAAAACTAAGATCATTGGCTACATAACTATACTATGTGGCTTGACTCGATTTGGTGGTGGATGCGTCGATTTGAGTGGCAAGAAGCATTTTAGAGAAAGTGTCTCAAGTAAAGACCCTAAACTTCGAGCTGGAAGTTGATTTTTGCCAATGAGAATTCAAGATACAAGTTGACACACCTGCCCACCAAAGTGAGTTAGCCATGGTCGGCCAGCTAGTAGCACCATGTGCCACATTCTTCAATATCTTGGTAGAGGACCAGCCTACCAAACGTAACGGTGATAAGCCTATTTCCATTTAGCTTTCAGTTCTCTGTATCAATTAGCCAGTGCTGTAATCTTGTACCCTAATGATTGATTAGAAAATCACTCCGACTCTAGCAAGAGAACTAAATTATAAAAAGTATAAGTACTCCCGGTAACCAACTCATAGAAGAGCTCATCATCACAATCAATCAAACATCTCCAAGCACAACCCACTCACCTTTAAAACTTCCTCCCCCCAATCCAACTCTAAAAACCTTCAATATGGCTGCCGTATTCCGGACCGTCGTCAAGACCTGGCACAAGGATGTCTACCCCTTCATCTCTCCTACCTCCGGTCTCTCCAATACCGCCGCTGGTAAAACTGTAATCGTCACCGGCAGTGGGCGTGGAATTGGAAAGGTACCCGATACCCTCATTCTGTTTCTCTCCTTGTACCAATGTCTGCTAACGTACCATGACTCTAGGCAGTCGCACAAGCCTTCGCACAAGCCGGCGCAAGCAAAATCATTCTGACCGGCCGCACCACTAGTGATGTTCTTGCCACCAAGAAACTCATCGAAGAGGGCAACCCTGGAGTGAAGGTTTGCTTACACCATTGATGTCTCGAAGGACGCTGAGGTGGTGGAGCTGTTTGCAAACGTGAAGAGAGACGCCGGTGTACCTGATGTGCTGGTGAATAACGCCGGCGTCGCTGAAAGCGGATATGTGCCGCTTGCACAAAGTGACCCACTTGGATGGTGGAGTGTCTGGGTAGGTTCTCTTGAGAGGGATCGAAGTGTTAATGTGAGAATACCCCGCTGATAATGATTCAGGAAATCAACATTAAGGGAACATATCTGTGCACACGGGAGTTCATTAATGCTGTGAAAGCAGAGAGCCGCGGGGGCACCATAATAAACACGTCATCAATTGGTGCTGCGGTTGTCACGCCCACTATGAGCTCCTATCAGACTGGAAAACTGGCGTTGATCAAGTAGCTCTCCTTCTCTTGCTCAACCTTTATCTCATAAGCTAAGTCATAGTATAGATTCACGGAGTTTATTGAAGCCGAGAATGGCAAAGATGGGATTCGAGCTTTCTCCTATCATCCGGGCGGCATTATTACCGACATGGTGAAGCAGCCGCCGGCGGAAATTCGGCACATGTTCCAGGACACTGGTAAGTTAACAATGATTCCATGTGGAATAACTCGATAAGTCCTTGGCACTAACAAAGAAAACAGTTGAGCTTGCAGCTGGAACAGTGCTCTACCTCGCTTCCGAAAGATCTGAGTATTTGAGGGGACGCTTTATCATTGGGAATTGGGACATGGAGGAGCTGGAGCAGAGGAAGGATGAGATTGTAGAAAAGAACTTATTCAAGAGCGGTATTCATTTTAATTAAGCTTGGTTTACCAAGAAGAGCTCGACTGATATGTTTATAAGTTTGTTTGTTGAGAGAGGGGATGCCTTTATAGAGCGCGAAATTCCACTCATATTGATCATTGACATCCGTGACCAAATATACTGATAGTGTGTATTCGTAGTCCCTAGTTAACCGAACCAGTATCTCCAGCGTCCGCTAAGGAAGGGTTCGATTCGTACCCTTCACTATATAACTTTATTATTAGTATTTAATAATATTGTGGCTCTTTTAAACCCCATTTTTTTGCGCAGTTCCTCCTGCCTTCCGAAGGATTTTTGTCCCCGGCCCGGCCCGCCCTTCAAGATACATACATTTATACTTCGGGATTGTGGTGGAGCAACGTACGCCTCAAGTCTTTCTCTTCCTTTTGGTGTATAACAGACCTTACAGCGCACCCATCGCCCCCATGAACTCAGCACCATATACACACACAAGTCACATGTAAACTGCTCTTGGAGCTGAACATGCATAAGTACATATGCATAAGTACATATGCATGTGTATCAGTAAAGGTAACGTTTCGAATAGCACACGCTTGAGCGAGCCGCAACTTACTAGTAGGCTTGATTTCACCTGCTGTTAATTCAGAGTACTCTGGTGCGGCGTGCGCCTGCGATGCGAAACCGCCCTGCTGTTCTTGTCCAGCGGCCTCATGGCCCACCGTCGGTTGGAAAATGATGATCTTTACTAAAGACATCAGTGAAATACAGACAACTCGCATGTTGATGTACTGCAGTCTTTAGGGGAAATTTTCGAATTTTTGTTCCAACGATATACAGAAAAAACTACCCAAAAAATTATCCACAAAAAAAAGAGAGAGAGGAAAGAAACCCTAGCCCATCATTAATTACTCCAACCATAGCTTCGCCAGCCCCTGTCCCCCAAAAATGGAGACGGGGAAACCGGTGATGGAGCCATGTTCCCAATTCAAAAAACCGAAATTGGGAGTCAGGGGACTCAGGATGGTAGGGTGTGCTGCTGAGGGTAGCCTAGGTGGCTACTATCCCGGAAGCAGCACTATAGCTATGAAGGCTAAAGGAGATGGGGAAGAAACTACATATTTAAAGCAATAAGAACAAGTTTATTTTGGCCGCTCTGCTATGTGGATTCTAGATAAGCCAGTAAAGCGAAAGCTCGCTTTAGGTACGCTCGGGAACAGAATTTGGTACCGTTATAGAGAGAGTGTCAGTGATGAAAACAAAGAAAAGGGATCGAAAAGTGCTATCCTTGTAGCAGGCTTTCACTGTACTTCCTGTTTGAAACTTTGTCAAGAAGCCAACTAGGATCTAGAGACGATTCAAAAACATTACTGTTGGTATGTGTACATCTAATATGTACTGGAATACACTTCTTCTGAACTCTCTGCAATCTGATTGGTTGACAGCGACAGGGGTGTTTTGTAAGCACGACACATCAAATTCATGTCTTTGATGCAGTTACCCTACTCGATTTTGTTCAGTTACCCTGCCTATTTTGAGATGGTTACCCTACCCGATTAGTGCGGTTACCCTACCTACTCTGAGCTGTTACCCTACCTTTTTGTGCGTTACTCTACCTTTTTTGGGCGTTACCCTGCCTGCTCAGGGCCATTACCCTGCCTATTTTCCTGCCAAGCCCAAACCCTAACCCTGACCTTACCCATGAGACCAGCCCAACCAACGGAACCCTTTATGATTAAATAATAAATATAGCTATTTAGTAGTCAAATGTGAGCAGAATAGGCGAGTGAGACGAACAGTAGTTGGCGGGGGGTGCGAAGAGGGAGAGGGAAGACCAGTAAGAGGGGGAGAGGAGGTACCAGTGCGGTGGAGGAATGGTGAAGGGAGCTGGAATATATCAGAGCTAGCACTGGAGCCGGTACTGGAGCTGGCAATGGAGCTGGCACCGGAGCTGGCATATAGTGGAGTGGGCACCGGAAGGGGCATTGGAGCCGGCATTGGAGCTGGCACAGGAGCTGGCATCGAGGCGAACGCTGGAGTAATCATTCGAGCGGTCACCGGAGCGGACACAAGAGCGGGAACACGAGCAGGAACATGAGCGGGAACAGGGGTAGGCACAAGAGCGGGCACAGGAGTGGGCATTAGAGCTGGCACCGGAGCTGGCACCGGAGCGGGCACCGGAGCGGGCACCGGAGCGGGCACCGGAGTGGGCATCAGAGCTGGCACTGGAGCTGGAAGCGAAGCGGGCACTGGAGCTGGAAGCGAAGCGGGCACTGGATCTTGCAGAGAAGCGGGCACTGGAGCTTGCAGAGAAGCGGGCACTGGAGCTGGCATGTATCTGAGCTGGCATATATTTGAGCCGACACCGAAGCTGACACTGGGGCTGTGTAACGGCAGCTACGTATTTCGGCTAGGTGATGAACTGGTATGAGGGAAGTAGGTATCGTGCAGTGGGATTAGGATTTGTAATGGGGATTTCTGCTATGTTCTTTGGGTTTCTGTTACGCGAAGGTATTAGTCATCGTTGGATTATGGATGGATATATAAGGGGGCGTTGTCTTGTGCTTTTGTCTGTTTTCCTTCTTCTCTTTCTTCCTTACGCAACCTCTGTATTTATTCCACGAATACTATTCTTTGTCTGCACTACGTCATAGGGCTCCAACTGGTTTATCATACCAGATAGAGCCACCCCATAGTCCATAGTCAAAAGTATACCTTTAAGTCTACGTCCACGTCTACGTCACTACCTAGGTTGTATTCCTTGGCACTACAGTCTATCGCCTACCGTCCCCGTGATACGTAGGTTGCGTCCTCTATCGCCAACCAATACAACACCATAGTTTACAATGTCGGAACATGCACCTATTGATTATCAACAACTCAGCGATAGTCTCCAAGCCCTTTTTCAAGCGCATCCACGGGTCGATGATACTGTTGGAACTGAAGCCTATGCGCTTCTCCAACAGTGCCAACATGGTCTTGCTCAATATGCAACGGATTTACAGGAGGTAGAAGAGGAGGCCGAGAGGGCGAGGAGAAGGTTTGAGCAAGATCTTGCTGCTGCCCGAGCTCAACAGGCTCCTGTTGAGGCTGTCGCCCCTGTGCAAGCACCCAACGAAGACAATGTTCCACCTGCACCCCCAGTACCACCCGTTACAGATACTACCTATCGGTCGGAGAAGCTTCCAGACCCTGAGGTATTTAAGGGGGATCGTGATCGAGAAAGGTTACACCTGTTTAAACAACAAATGAAGATTAAGCTATTAGGAAATGCCGATCGCTATCCTACACTACAGTCTAAACTATCCTATGCATTCAGCAGGTTGGAAGGCGTTGCCGCCAATCAGTTTTTACAATATATTGGCGAAGAAGGTATTGCCTTACCCTCTATGCTACGATTTTATGAGGTTTTAGATACTGCTTTCGGGGATCCCGATCGAATGCGTACGGCTAGGAGGAATCTTAGGAACATCCGTCAACGAAATCGAACGTTCGCCGATTATTTTGCTGAGTTCCAACGATATGCTGCTGAGTCGGGTATGGATGAAGTCTCTCGGATTGAGGCTTTGATGGAAGGGATTAATGCGGAACTCGATGAATCAATGATACACCATGACACTCCCGCAACGGTAAATGCTTGTGCGACACTTCTGCAACGGTTGGATAATCGTCGCCGAGCGGCAGAAGTTAAGCGAGGAAGTAAAAAACCTTGGACTACTACTACTACTCCGGCTCCTCGTCCTTCACAAGCAAGTCCTGTTTCTACTCCCCGCGCTGCCGCCCCAGTCGCCAATGCACCTGTTACTGAAAGTCATCCCTCATCCCGCCCGGGAGGTGATGTACCAATGGATCTATCTGGAGGGCGTCGTCGCCCCTCCCCTACCGAAAGAAATGCCCGCTTAGTTGAGGGCCGATGTTTTTATTGCGGAGGTGTTGGACATATGGTTAGGGATTGCCCCCAAGCGAGGGCAACTGGAAATCAACCAAGGAGGCCTGTGATGAGAGGAGCAGCGTTGACAGTGGAAGAAAATGATGGAAGCGATAATGAGTCGGCAAAAGATTTGTCCCTGCACTAAGTGGCTTAGCCCAGGGACCGTTTAAGGATTTTTCTAGGATGTGTATTTCTGGTTTTTCGGTATCAGAGGAGGAAATGGATGGAAATCAACTTGTAGTAACTTGTTCGATTTCACAGAATAAAAATTCTTTCATACCTACCTACGCCCTTATTGATACCGGAGCATCAGGATATGCTTTTATTGATGAATCTTTTGCACGCCACAACAATCTTACAATGACCCCCCTCAAAATACCCCGCCATGTAGACGTTATAGATGGAAGGCCTATCAAGTCAGGAAAAATTACCCACATTGTTAATGTCTCACTAGACATTCATGGTCATCGGGAAGATGTGCCATGTTTTGTAACGAAGTTAGGACATTATCCGATTGTGATGGGGATACCTTGGATGCGACGACATGATGTTACGATTCGACCAAAAGAAAATCTACTTGTTTTTGACTCTCGAAGCTGTTGTCAATACTGTTCACTCAGTGGAACTGCAATTATTGTTCATGGCATCTCGATTCCCTTACCGGAACACCATACGGTCATCGTTTCAGCAACTGAAAAATCTACGGTCAATATTGAACAATTAGTACCGAAGGAATTTCACCATCGTCTCCATATGTTCAAAGAATACGATGCATCAATTCTCCCACCACATCGACCATTGTACGACATCGAGATAATATTGGAAGAAGGTAAACGACCACCATATGGACCTATATATGGATTGTCTCAAATTGAGTTGAAGGCACTACGGGAATATCTTGATGAAAATTTACCTGTAACGGCAGCCATGTGGTTTGGTTATGCGAGGTGTTGCGGTACGAAGAAGAAGGGTTATGCAGTGTGGTTGAGTTTAGCGAAGCGGGTTTCTATTATGTTCTTTCTGTTTCTGTTATGTGAGGGTATGAGTCAGCGTTGCGATAGGGTATGGATATATAAGGGGGGCGTTGTCTCGTGATTCTTTGTTTCTCTTTCTTTCTCTTTTCTCTTTATGTAACCTCTGTACTTTACAGTTACGAATACTATTTGGTTCGCGCTACGTCATAGGGTTTACCCGGTATACTAGACCAGGTACGACCACCCATAGTCCATAGTCCACGTTTCCGCCTTGGTAGCATACCTCGGCCCCATAGTCCATAGTCCACGAACCTCCTACGTCTACGTCTTCGCCTCGGTTGTATTCCTTGGCTTCATAGTTCCTACGCCCATAGTCCCCGTTACACTTAGGTTACATCCTTCTACAGCCAACCGATACAACACCACCTTGCTTAGCTCTAGTCGCGACAATGTCCGACACTACCCAGGATACGCTGCTACAGCGTCTTTCAGAATTTCTGATCACCTATGGTCCCCTCCCAGCAGATATAGACTTCGGTGAAGAACTTACCGAAGCTCATGGTCTTATTGCTGAGTGTTTGGAGGCTCTCACCAAGCCTCTCGACACCCCCACGCCACCAGAACCCGTTATCGATACGGCCCAGGAAGAGGTTATTATTAGCCTCACCACAGAACTAGAAGCAGCGAACGAAAAGGCTGCCGATTTTTGGCAAACCTTGTGCGATAACCAGGAAGATTTTACTGAGATCATCCGAGGTCGCGACGAGGTTATCGTTGCTTTGAAGATTGAGTTGGAGGAATCGAAGGCCGAAGAAGAAGAGCTTCGGTTCCGTCTGGCACTACACCAGGAAAGTCTCGCCATTGCTGATGAGAATCTCGCTGATGCTGAGGATGAAATTCTTCACATCACCTCCGTTGCGAAGGCCTGGGAAGTCCAAGCCAACGCTACCATTGCCGATCTCCGCTCTCGTATCTCCGTCTCCGCTACCACAGTCAAACCCCAACGCCGCCATGCCCCCACCAAGCCTCGTTACCTGACCCCTCGTTCTCAAGATCCCCGTACCATTAACAATTGGCGAGAAAAGCCAATTGAACAAGTGTCTCAAAAGCCGGCGTTAAAAGGTCAGCCCCTTTGGTAAAAAATGGCAAACCAAAGGGGCCAGCCCCGCCACCTGTTTCAGTTCTCCCTGCTGCTGCTGTGTCTGAGGATAAGATGTCCGAAGACTCTCTTGTTGTTACCTGTTCGGTCTCTCAGAATCCTGACTCTTTCATCCCCACCTACGCTCTCATTGATACTGGAGCATCAGGATATGCTTTTATCGATGAATCTTTCGCACGCAACAACAATCTTGCAATGACCCCTCTTAAAGTACCTCGTCAGGTAGATGTTATGGATGGGAGGCCTATTGAATCAGGAAAGATCACCCATATTGTCAATGTATCGCTGGATATCCATGGTCATCGGGAAACTGCATCATGTTTTGTAACGAAGCTAGGACACTATCCAATTGTGATGGGAATACCTTGGATGCGACATCACGATGTTACGATTCGGCCGAAGGAAAATTTACTTGTTTTTGACTCTCGAAGCTGTTGTCAACACTGTTCACTCAGTGGAACGACAGTCACTGTCCATGGAATATCGATCCCTTTACCGGAACATCATACTGTTGTCGCTTCAGCAGTTGAGAAATCCACCGTCGACGTCAAGCAACTAGTACCAAAGGAGTTCCACCATCGTCTCCACATGTTCCAAGAATATGATGCTTCTGTCCTGCCGCCACATCGACCGTCCCATGATATTGAGATTGTATTAGAAGAAGGTAAACGACCTCCATATGGACCAATATACGGCCTGTCCCAGATCGAATTAAAAGCGCTACGGGAATATCTTGATGAAAATCTACCAAAGGGATTTATCAGGGCTAGTGAATCACCGGCGGGAGCACCCATACTGTTCGTAAAGAAAAATGATGGGACTCTTCGACTATGTGTGGATTACCGAGGCCTCAATGCGATCACGATCAAAAATCGGTACCCGTTACCACTGTTAAAGGAAACTTTGGCTAAACTTTCGAAGGCACAGTACTATACTAAGTTGGATCTACGTTGGGGATACAATCAGATCAGGGTAGCGGAGGGAGACGAATGGAAAACGGCATTTAGGACTCGTTATGGACATTTCGAGTATACTGTAATGCCATTTGGATTAGCTAATGCCCCTGCTACGTTCCAACACTGGATCAATGATATTTTACGACCATACCTCGACCAATTTGTGACAGCATACCTAGATGACATTCTTATCTACTCGGAAACCCTGGCAGAACACAAAGAGCACATTCGAAAGGTTTTGAAGGTACTTGATGAGAGTCATGTTCACCTTAAGCCTGAGAAATGTGAATTTATAGTCCAGGAAACGAAGTATC